TTGACATTGTGTACATTTAAACACACTGAATGAGAAGCTTGCTTACAAAAGTGTGTGGATCTTCGTGATAGAATGACAGGAACGGGGGACTAAGCAAAAGAAGATAAGAAACTTTGTATATGTCTACCACTGGAGTAGGTTTTGATCAATATTTTATCAATTATTTTCAATTGTCAATATCTAAAATTCATTTTAAAACGTCATTTGACTCCTATGAACTTTTACACACTCACACAAAACAAAACTGAAAACAAAAGTTAGAATCTATGAATTGACTTTATATTTTGGTATTTTATAAATTATTTTGTTTTTCTGTATCACTCTTTACTATTTCATAAATATTTAAAGCATTTCCTGTAACAGTCTGAGGGCTGATTAAGTCAGCCAGATTCCAGAGGGGGTTGAGAAAATCAAAAACAGGATTTTCCCCAAATGTTTTATGGTATAAGACACGGGTTCTTTAGTAGACTAATCATGTTTGTTGAAATTTGTACACAGAAACATTTACCTTATTGTGACCTTCAGTTCAATCAGTTTCATGTACTATTAAACGATATAATTTGTTTTTTTTAAAATAAAATTTGAGAAATTCTATTGAAGAAGAAGGAGAAGAAGCTTTTGCTCATTCAGAAAAATGTTTAGAAAAATCCTGTTTTGATTTTGTAAACATTCTGGAATTATTTTAAATAGTATTTATAATAATAACAATACTCTTTCATCATGAACTGACATCGGTTAGAGAACCATTGGGAAACCACCTGGGAGTACTTAACAGCTGTTTCGTCGGCCCACGTTGTGACTCTTCAGCGGTACGCACCCACGGGGGCTCAAACCCACTGAGCCACTGGATTGGGTCTTGCCTTGTAACCAGAAGGTCCTGGGTTCTAACTCTCGTGGTGAGTGCGTACTGCTGAAGAGTCCCAAACTGGGCTGAAGAAACTGCTGGCTGGCAGTTCTCCCAGGTGGTTTTACAATGCTTCTCTAACTCATGTAAGCTCATTATGAAGTACAGTAACCAATCAAATCCCAACAAACCAATAATTGAATACCATATTAGTTTGTTTATTAAATGTATTACACAGTGGAACAGTATTATTTATTGGATGAGGCTGCGAACAAAATGTATTGTTCATAATCATAACAATTAAAATCACATGATTTCGAAACTTGAGTTTTTCCGATCATCCCACCCTATATCAGTGAAATTAGGATTGGTGAGATCTTTAAGTAATAGAGTACAAAAACTAAGTAGTACCAAGGAAAATCTAAGACAGGAAGTGAGACATATAAGAGAAGCCTTGAAACTTAATAATTACCCTGATTAGTCAGAAAGTAGGTAGGGAAATGTGAAAGTGAAATAAATAATGATAGTAGTGATAGTGATAATAATAGTAATGACAATAATAATAATAGTAGTAATATTAATGACGATATGCATGTAGAACATGCGCAAGACAACACCAACACTAAGGAATCTAAATCATCAGCAGTAATTCCATACAAGGAAGGAACTTCGGAAACCTTACGGCGGCGAATTCTTAACAAGGCAGGAATAAAAGTGGCTGGCATTCAAACCACCCACAAACTCAATTAGAAACAAGCTTTGTCGGTTAAATGGTGAATCCTGTGGAGCCTTTAAAACAAAACAATTTAGTTTATCTAATACCCTACCGGAATGATTGTCAGGTCAAATACATAGGTAGAACAGGGGCAGTCAGACTTGCTGAGAATAAAAACCTAGCCAAATTTAGATTGGTTGACCCGAATAAGATAAGTGATCTAGAGAATAGTTTAGCTATAGCACTTACCACATGCAATTACACACAACCATACAATAGGCTGGATGGGAAAAGATGACAGTTTTAAAATCTAATCAAATATAACAGCATAGTGGAAGGAGAGATTGATAACAGAAGCTTTGTTTTTCGAGTCAACTGCAAATACGTGTAATAGGAATGATTCAACACCTGTCCACGTAGATATCTGGAAAATTCTACCACCCCAACAACGACAAATAGGAGAGGACAAAGAAAACTTTAAGACTCAAGTTTCGAAGTCGTGTGTGATTATAATTGATGAAATGATTATGAACAATACATAAATTTTGTTCAAAACCTTGTCATCCAGTAAATAATACTGTTTCACTGACTGTGTGATACATCAAATGAACAAGCTTATATGGAATTACTTACTACCACAGTGCCTAAGTTTCACACATATATCAATACTTGAATACTCCTTCAGTTGAGATTCCCGGAAGAAGACAGTAACAGTTGACAGAATGATCAATTGAAATTTGAATTTCTAACAAATGACTTGTCTTTATTTTAAACTGAAACTCTACGTTTCCATAAATTGAATAAGAAAAATTTTTAAGCTGACAACTTTTTTCAATAATTATCTGTTTTCTTTTATAAATTCAATTTTGATTTTCCCCTTGATTGACTCGACCGAAATGTTCAGCCTGTGTTGATGTGTTAGCTCCTTCTATGGATGCTTTGACGATGTCTGAGGAATGAATTGAAGTAATTTGGTGAGTATTAAGTAGCAGTGGAATCCAGAATGCGCATTTCGTCCTATTTGAGACTCGTCGCCTGGATGTAATAATATATGTCGCTTGTCGCTCAGCAAGTGGTCCTTGTGACCCAGGTAGTCTAGTGGATAAAGCTTTGGTATTTGAGACAATATGGAGACTGGAATGCAGGTACATGCAGATGACGAGTCCCAAACCGGAGGAAATATGCTTCCTGAATTACAGTGCCAGTCAACATTCATCAATTGATTGTTTTCAATAACTTCTTCTTCAAGCTTTACAGTTATAAATCCACGAATATTTGAATATCGATAGCCAGTAAAGGCAAATAGAAATTATATCAGAAATAGTATTGGGGTATTAGCAGCATAAAATGGAATAATAGACCGTTAGTTAACATCGTCAACTGAAAGCCATGTAAAGTGCATAAGATAAAATGGTGCCTTTAATACTTTATAATGGTGTTTTTAGTGATGTTTTTTAATGATAAAATTTGACGTAACCTCCTTGTTTACAAGGATTCCAATCAATGAAACTATTGGGATCATTTGTTAGCAGTCTAATCTTCTCCCAATCTCAGTATCGGAATTCAAATGCTTACTGCTAATGTGTATCATGGGTGTACAATTCCAGTTTTACAACGCTCTTTACCGCCAAATAGATGGTGTAACTATCGGAAGTCCAGTTAGCCCTGTTTCAGGAGATATCTTCATGTCCAACCCCCAGAGGACAAACTGAAGCATGTAATGAACGAAACAACGTGTCAGTATGTCAATGACACATTTTTAGTTTGTAACAATGAAAGTCATGCTTCGTACCAACTCAGATTAGTCAGTGACGCACATACAATTATTGAATTACCTATAAAAAATGAAAATGATGGAAAGTTCCATTTCTTTGACATTATCATGCAACGCCTAGAAGATGGTAGTCTCCAGAGGTCAATTTACCGAAAGCTGAAATGGAACGGACAATACTTACATTTTAATAGTTTTTGTCCAAATAGCTAGAAACGGGCACAAGTCAAGGCTCTGTACTATAGGGCGAGGAGAATATGCTCTGCAGAGAAACTAGAGGAAGAATTTATGATTCTCGAAAAGATGTTGAAAAACAACGGTTATCCTCAAAGATTCCTTAACAAATATGGAAGATGTGAAGGCTCAAACATTAAACAAATCACAGTTGAAAAAAGCCTATCTTCATTTAACTAGATTTTAAAGGTGGAAACATTGCAGCAATGGTCAACAGAAGACTGAGTACGTCACTAGTCAGAGCCTATCCTGCAGCTAAGTTGGTTCCCGTCTATCGGACAACATGCTCTTTGGTGCAATCAAAAGTCGACAGATATCCTTCTCATGTTAACTCTGACTGTGTATACAAATTTACGTGTACCTGCGGGAGCAGTTACATTAGGAGAACAGAAAGAAGGGCACACCTCCGATTTTCTGGACATGTGTCAAAAATCCTACGTCTCAAGGAACCAAACTGTTATAATAGCGCTATTACCAGATATCTCCTCGATACGGGTCGTGAGGTGGAAATCGCGAAATCCTTTAAAATTATCAGTAGACAAAGGAACTCGATTCTCCTCAAGTTTGCCGAAACAATTTCTATCAAACGCCTGAAACCAGATTTATGTGTTCAGAAAGAAGCAGATATCAGTCTTTCGTTGCCATGGTAACTGAACGTCTTTATTCTCTCATCCATTTGATTGAATAAACTTTGGATTTAAGCTCACCTCCGTTTGATACAGTGTAATTTTACTTGTCTCCTGTTTCTATGATATGAGTTGAACTCAGTACTTTTCTACCCAATTCATTTGTTTCTCATCATCTAACTCACCTCTCACCTTTATTTCGTAACTCCTTTACCATAGTATGCATACAATGATTTTGTTGATTATAAATACACCAGTATGTCACTTAACTGTCTGTTTACAGTTGATCTTATCTTTTGAATACCATTCAACTGATAATGTTGACTAACGGACGATTATGCCATCTTATGCTGCTAATACCCCAATACTATTTCTGTTACAATTGCCTTTACTGGCTATTTATATTCTATAGTTGGTTTGTAAGGATTAGTTTTGTTTTTACGAGTTGATCACGGATTCATATCAGTTAGAGAACCATTGAAAACCACCAGGGAGTACTGGATAGCTGTTTCTTCAGCCTAGTTTTGAACTCATAGGCAGTGAGTACCCACCTTGGTTTGAAACCAGGACCTTCCGGCGGTAGACCATTCAGCCAGGGGGACTCGACTCATTGGCCAATGAATTCCATCTTGTACCAGTTCGTTATTTTAGCATGATCACTAGCCACTATCCTCACTGCCGACTGAGTGGACCCCTTTAGTCACGACTTTACACAAGAACTCCAGGCAAATTCGTCCTGCAGCCAGTCTTCTGATTTAATAAAGCCAGTACACTTTATGTCAATATTTTTCATTTCTTCTACATTTTCAGAAAGGCGATTCAAATTGATCCTGAAAACAGTCTAGCCAATTATCATCGTGCACTTATCTACCTACATCATAGTCAGTTTGAACAGGCTGAAAATGCAGTGAATATTGCATTACAAGAACAATGTCTACCATTCAATTGTTATCAATTAGATCCAATGAGCTTAGATCCCAGTGTATGGTTACTACGTGCTATAATTCGTTTGTTGAAATACAAATCAAATGATGCGCGTAATAAGATATTACAAGAGGCTTTGCATGATGTTTGTAAAGCAGAAGAATTGATTTCACCTGGAATGCATCATTGCATAACTCAATGGCCTCATTTGCACTATACTAAAGGTCGAATATTATATGAATTGAATCGTTATAAGGATGCAGAAGAAGAGTATACAAAAGGTGAGGAATGATTGATTCTGTGGAGTTATTTCTTTTTCATTCTTAAAAAACCAATCGATTAAAACACAAAATAATCGAGCAAAGAATATTCTTTTCGATAAATTCCTCTTCCGGCTCTACAATTATATATACATATGTTTATATACACAGAATATTCTAGATTAGTAGTTGATAACAATATTAGAAAAGAGGACGGCACAATAAGAAGAAGTGTTTGTAGAAAACCTACGTCAACGGGCCAGTACACACATTTTCTCAGCTTTGTGCCCCTGAAATACAAACGCAATCTAATAAAGTGCTTGGTCCACAGAGCAAGAGAGATTTGCTCGGATGAACGTCTTGACGAGGAGCTTACCAATATTAAACGGTTGCTAAGTGAGAATGGTTATCCTGAAAAGTTTATTGATAAGAATATGAATCTGAAACCTAAGCAGCCCAAGTTACCAACAGTTCCAAAAAAGGCCTTATTCTTACAGATGCAGTTCCTAGGAGACAACACCAGTGAGATACTAACACAACGCCTTGGAAGTGCGGTAAAAAGAGCATTCCCTGCTGCTGAATTATGCTATGTCTTTAAAACTACTCCTCTTCTGCGTTCGGGACTAGAAGGCAAACTGCCTAATTTCGTCTCTTCCATGTGTATCTACCAATTTAACTGCTCCTGTGGAGCCAGTTACATAGGCCGTACAATTAGGCGTGTTTCTCGTCAAATTTCCGAACATCACCCTGAGTGGTTAAGGAAAGGACAAACAAAATTTATTCGCAGCGCTATTCTGTCTCATCTTGTGGACACAGAACACAAGATTAACGTTAATCATGCTTTCAGGGTCATTTACCGCATACCTACAAATCTCAATTTCGCCTTAAGAGTTCGACTACTAAATATTGCTGAGGCTGTGGGGATCCATATTAACAAGCCTAATTTATGCATCCAAAAGAAGTCAGTTCAGACATTATCATTACCTTGGCCATCCAGGTTTGAATAATCGGGAAATTTTGTGGAATTTCCCTAATTTTAGTTGATATTCTATTCGCTATTATATCTGTATTATTATTATAATTTAAGAATCTTTAATGAACTGTAATTGTATTTATCATACTTTACAAATCAATATCATTTAAAAACACTAAGATATTCTGTGTATATAAACATGCATATAATTGTAGAGCCGGAAGAGGAATTTATCGAAAAGAATATTCTTTGCTCGATTATTTTGTGTTTTATAGATGTCTGAATGAATATTTTTGCAATCAATTAAAGATGATTATTGACAGAGTAGAATCCTGGTAGTATATTATTATTATTATTCCCTAAGGTTCTGAGTAGAAATTAGGACTTCGCCAGCACATCTCCATCTCATTGATTCTTAGCCTACTCCACAATTGCTCTTAAGCTTCCATTTCTAATTCTTCACATGACCTCCTCCATGTCATTATCAGAACCACTCTCAACTCGTTCTTTTTTTGGTGTTCCACTCGAGGGTCTGGCGCGCTACGTTGTGCAGTGGTCTCCCCAGTATGTGCGCAATCCATCTTCATTCTCCACCACGTATTTATTTGGCGACAGGTTCTTGATTGGTTCTTTCCCACCTCACACAATGGGTCAAAGTTCAAGCCAAAGAAACAATCAGTTCCAATACAAGTAGCCGCCTAGAGGGTGTGAAAACACACAAAAACAACCAGTCACGCCCAAGGTTACCAGGAGAGATGATTAATAAACTCGTGGAGAAATCTAAAAGCTCGCTTCAACAAATTGAAGTTTGCGCTGAAGATGTCACCTAGTAGGGTGATGAAAGCTTGGCAAATTAACTATCCAGCTAGTTCAGAGAACACAACCACACAAAAAAGGATGTCAAAGAAAGGATCAGAAAGGTGAGGAAAATCTTAATCACTGTGAAATCAGTTTCGGGAATCTTCTGCACTCAGCATAAAGAACAAGATTTGGATTCCCAACACCAAAGTCAAGTCAGTCACATATTCTACATTGGTCAGGAACGTGCTGAAAACGCCCCAGAAGACATTTCTAACAGCTTGCAGACTAACATCAACAACTACCTTTGTTCCATATTGAATATCGAATAGGTGACATCTTCAGCGCAAACTTCAATTTGTTGAAGTGAGCTTTTAGATTTCTCCACGAGTTTATTAATCATCTCTCCTGGTGACCTAGAACGTGATTGGTTGTTTTTGTGTGTTTTCACACCTTCTAGGCTACTTGTATTGGAACTGATTGTTTCTTTGACTTGAACTTTGACCCTTTGTATGTGAGGTTTCTTTCTTATCGGTTGATAAATTTTGTCTATCTCGATGTACCTATTGATTGATGATTCACTGGAATACCAAGCTTCTAAAGATTCTCTAACATTCTTAGTGTTTCCTCTGTCTAATATTTTAACGCTGGTTGTCTCAGTCGAATTGATGTTCGTGGTTGTCTGTATACAATGTGGCGATATGAGGGAGTGAATGTCATGTCTTTTGATGGCTAGTTTATGTTCGTGGATACGAAGACGAAGGGGACGTCCACTTTGGCCAATGTAGTGTCTTTCGCAGTTGTTACAATTTATTTTGTAGATGATGTTGGTTTTATCTTGTTTCACTGTTGAGTCTTTTGGTTGACATAGAACTGAGTGAAATGATTTTGTTGTTTTGTGTGCGACATCAATTCCTAAAAGTTTGAAGAGTCTCGCAGTGATTTCTGAGATATCCTTTATGTATGGCTGGGTGATTTTCTTTGTGCTTTCTTTGGAGGCTTTTGGTTTGATAGGTTGGCTTGGGGTTATATGTCTGTTGATGAAACTCCGTGGATATCCATTCTTTTGGAAGACGTCTATGAGATATATTTCTTCAATTTTGCTTAAGTTGGAAGTGCTGCAATGAGTCTTGGCCCGATAAGAAAGAAATTTCACACACAAAGAGTCAAAGTTCAAGTCAAAGAAACAATCAGTTCCAATACAAGTAGCCTAGAAGGTGTGAAAACACACAAAAACAACCAATCACGCTCAAGGTCACCAGGAGAGATGATTAATAAACTCGTGGAGAAATCTAAAAGCTCACTTCAACGGATTGAAGTATGCGCTGAAGATGTCACTCAGTAGAGTGATGAAAGCTTCGCAAATTAACTATCCAGCTAGCTCAGAGAACACAACCACACCAAAATCATCCACCTGAGCTACAATTCTTCTCTATCATATCTAAATTTGACATCCTTATCCGTGGTGTCCGTAGCTAAAACGATACTGGCTAGAATGAGTTAACTTCCTTTACGTTCTTTCCGATGATGGAGGTTGACGCTCTTATCCTATTCACATATTTATGATCCTAGTTTGTTTATCCTATGCATAACACAGAAAACGAACTCAAATAACAATAATATTGAAGAAGGTTTATATTCACTTATGGAAACTGACAAGGAAATAAATGATGGTACCATATTATTCTACACAAACCACTTATGTTCTTGATTTATTCAAAATGACATTGTTGTATTTTGTTAGGCACTTTAATTCTTGCAAGCAGTTAGCTACCGTCATTTTTTCTGATGACAAAATATCCTCTTCATTATGTGTAACTGTTTCCTTTCATAAGGATTTATAGTTGTACAACAAAATATTAAAAAATTTCAACCATACTGTGACGTGTTCTACTGATAAGATTTATCAGCGGTATATAAAGAGGCGTTCATCGGCATAAGAACAATGTCAGTTAGTTGAAAAAGAGAAGACGTTCAGCGAAGAGACTCCTCTTTTGACGGCGAATTCATTCACATAGCTGTACAATCGCATTTATATATAATTATTTGTGTGTGTGTGTGTGTGTACATGAGGTTTGTCAAGTTTAGATAATTAATCAGGTAATACCAGAATGATCTAATATAGAAACAAGGTTTATTAGACAGCAATTAAAGTAAGATTGAGTTAGTAAGTTAGATGACGTAATACAATTGACTAAAATGTTTAAAATTAGGTCGGGGTAGCAACAGAGGTAATTACAGGTACAGACTAAGTAGAAGTGGGGTAGAGAATAATTCCACTTAAATTAGAACTAAAATTGAGCAAATAAGTTGCGTGACGTGGCATAAATGACTAGAAATTGAAAGTTGGTCAAGTCAGTAACAATGGTAATGAGGTATAGAAATTAAATCGGGTGGGGATAGATAACAGGATGGTTGAAAATTTAAAATATTACAAGTGAAAAGACAAAAAAATACTAATGAGGAGACAGAAAAAAAATAGAATTTACCTGTTGGGTAATAAGACAGATTACGTCCCTTGCAAGTGTAGTGATTGAACGAACATCTTCTGAATGCAGAGTTCAGGGCTTAGCAAGTGAATTGCCATTGCTTCTGCAGTTTGAAGAAGTCTGATTCGCACACCTTTAGGGAGACTGCTTCTTACTCTGTAGACGACTTTGAAGTTTGTTTGGGGTGTAGCCTTGTGTCCGGAATCTATCAGATGTTCTAAGAAAGAGCTGCGGGAAGCATCGTTTTTTCTTCTTTGTAAAACCATGTTGGTAATTGTTCGGTGATACGTTTGGAAAGCGAAGGCTGGGTACGGCCGATATACCTGGCTCCACACGAGCAGGTGAATTGGTAGATACACATTGATGAGGTCCGCTGTGATAGCTTATCCTTCACGTTCACATGAATCACAGGTTTCGTGAAGAAGGTTAGTCGTAGTTCACCTGCGAAGAAAATTTTCTTAAGTGAACGCGACAGTCGACTTTTCAGTGTTTCCGCAGATAAATCTCCATTGAATTGAAGGTTCACATAGAGTAGTTTTTTCGGGACGCTAAGCGTTGGCGCCTTTTGAATTCTAGTTTCCATGGATTTCGCAATAAATCGTTCTTGGTAACAAATCTCGACGAGGATTCTCTTGAGTCAAAGGCATACCATCAACTGTACTAACAGCCTTCAATTTTCGAAATAATAATGATATAACATAGTCTTTTTTGAGAACCCCAGGAAAGAATGAGGCAGGCAGGACAAATGAATTAATCAATTGTAAGTGAAGAGGTTGAGTTATACCACAAAGTTTCAACTCAAACAAAAGGTTTCCTTGGAAATCACCAAGATATGAAGCGACTAATAAAGATTTAAAAAGAAGTTGACACTACTAGTGGTAATATTTGATTTGCTGCCTATTACTGGGACTTGGACATTATACGAATCATGGTGAAACGATGGAAGATTAAAGACTTGCTAGAGGAATGTTTATTTGCAAGTTGGTTTATCTATCTAGCACCATTTTCACAGGTCTTCTGTGTTGTGCTACTACTGGCCTTCATACTGTGTTGCTTTCACATCTCCCATGTATCTCCATAAGGCTGAATCCTTTGCTTTCTCTGATGTCAAATCTATCTCTGTGCTATTTAATGTTTTCATGCTGATGAACGTCTCAGTGGCACACGCCACAGTATGGTTGAACTTTTATATTTTGTTATACAAGCATAAGTTCTTATGAAAGGAAACAGTTACTCATAATGAAGAGGATATTTTGCTATCAGACAAGATTTTTCATAAAACTTTTCAAAAGTCATGGCCAGCAGGATCCACAAAGTTGGGTGTGAGGATAAATACTTGCCAGTCATATTGGCTTGCAGTCGCGCTGTATATATCACCAGCCATTGGTGTTTGTCTCAATGGTTGAATGGTCAGTGAACTCGCCTTGTAACCTGAAAGTCTTAGGTTTGATCCTTAGTGGTGGGGGCATGGATGCACACCGATGAAGAGTCCTAAACCGGGACGAAACGGCTGTCCAGTATTTCATGCGCTTAGTAGTTCTGTATATTAAGTCATATCGTGATCAGTCTTGTAAACAATAGACTACAGTTTTCTAATTAACAACGGAAGAAATATGACAGCATCGTCTCAGCTACAACCAACTCTACAGATGAGGATGTTAAAACCAGGATCCGAAAGGCGAGGCACACCTTCATTACCCTGAAGTGAATTTTGAAACCTGCTGCACTCAACACCAATGCTAAGTCAGTCAGTATTTCTATATGGGTGAGAAACTTAGCGAACGAGTCATAAAAAAGCATTCCCAAATGGCCACTGCAGACTTTTGTCAACAGCTACCTTCCCTCCATACTTAAGGTCAGATGGCCGGCTAGAAAGAATTAGCAACAAGAAACTCTGGGAATTAGTCAATCAAGAACCCACTGCTCAACAAGTATCGCGAATAAAATGAAGATGGATTGAACAAATACTGAGGGGACCGTAAAATGACGTCACCCACCAGACATACTCTCAAGTGGAACCTAAATGGGAAACGACGATGTGAGTGTGGCTCTGTTAGTGACATGCAGAAGATCATGTAGGGATGAAATTGTCGGCAATTGGTGGATCAGCTAAAAAGGATCTCTAAGAATAGGAAAAAATGGAGATAAGCATCGGTGGCACACTCGCCGACCACGCATGTGGTAGGGGATCGAGCCCCGTCCACCGACGCACTCCTTTACCTCTCTCGCTAAGCCAGTAATAAGGCTGGTAAAGAGGGAAGGTTGGGCATGAGACTAGCAACCCCATCCCGTAACAACAAACACCACTGCTACAAGTCTCTAGCTTGAAGCTCTATGTTCCACTAGGAATGTAAAGGAATGAGAAAAATAGTTGCTTCCTCTTTTTATGCTTCGTTTCTGAGTTATAATACTAAGCAAAAGGTTTTTTCAGAAATTCATAAAAAAAGAAGGCAGAACACAGTCCTCACACTGATAACTGTGTTATTATTCTGAACGAAAATCCCATGTGCAATTTATTCAATCACAAACAACGCTGGCAATCATTATTACTGTTGGGCATACTGATATTGCTTACTAACCAGAGTAACAATAACACAAGCAGTAATAATAATAACAATAATAATAAAGAATGATATGTGATTAAAATCTATTTCGAGCAGGTTCAAGTTTTTGTTAGTTTGTTTGCTCGCTTGCTTGCTTGCTTTTCACAAAAACACTGCTCACACGTTTAAAGGCAGGGATCGGAGATATTCATTCATATTGTGTTACCATAGTAACCTGTAAATAAAACTCATATAAACAAACACACATATCAGTATACACACCATTTAACACCTTGATTTAATTATTAATCGAAAGTTTATTTCAGCAATTTCCTTTTTCGATATATATACATATATATACGCACATATATGTGAATAATATTCATTAAATGAAACCGCCCTAACGATAAAATACTTCGATAGCTTTGTTTCAGTTAAGTTTTAATTTCACGTTTTTTTTTAATATTCCATACTGGGTTGTGTTTTTGTGCCTCCCTTTTAATTTTTTTAAAAGTAAATCTATCTTTCTATCAGGAAAAAAGCAAACAGAAATAGATGAAAAACAAATAAGCACAGTTAAAACAGTTGACTTTCTCTCTATATATGTTTGTTGATATGATAAAGGCTTTTTAACTGTCGTTGTGAAAATTTCTGTTCAAAGAGTATAAATGGTCGAGGGCGTTGGGGGGGGGGGTAATTAAAGCAACAAAGAAAAATGAAATCTTTACAGATGATGACATCATTTAAATGTTTAATTGGGCAATAAATAGGGTGTAACCAGTGTAATGTGTTTATTGACGTAAACTGAATTCTGTAGTCAAGTCAAGTTTACAATATGGTCGGTCGGTCGGTCGGTCACCAAGTCAGGTGTCTCACCATAGTTATGCACTATAAAATTGATATTTTATGGTTAGAGGTAGTTGTAAGGAAGCCGTGGAACTAGATTTCACGCGCATGTTAACCCTGGTGAGCAAGGTCCATTATGTAATTTTGAAGGAAGTATTATTCTCTCTGAGATTAAAGCTCGTATCACCCACGTTATGGAACCGAAGTCAGCGGCTTCCTTCCTGTTGCCTCCAACCACTTAATGTGAATTCAGAGTCTATGACAATGATGACCATATTAGAAACCTGAGCGATAGAACTCGAAATGGGAACAAACATTTAAGCGAAGAGTCTCTATTCTGCGAATTCACCCACTGTCGAAAACTGTAAGCTTCCGTATACTTTACGTTGCTGAGGTCTTAACGATTCCAATGGAAAACCCTGATTTATGTATATAGAAGAAACTTCTGCATCCTCTCCTTCTACCTTGGATATAGTCCCAAGTTCAGCTGTTATTCATACTGTGTTGAGCATTTTCGTATGACATTGAGTATCATCATTTTGTTAATTCACCTTCCATTTACTCTTTTCACCTATTATGTAATTTATTTTGGTACTTGTCTCCAGGCTCTTCCACTGACAACCAATTTCTTTTGAATGCCTTCATATTGCGTAACCCTAGTCTAAGCTTACTAGTCTTCACAACGCCCTTGTTACAATTCTGACTTTGAAACATTTCGATGACGTCAACAATGATCCAAATTTAATTTTGATTCTTGTTTGACAAACTTCATGTACACACGAGATTATACAGCTAAATGAATGAATTCTTCGGAAAGAAACTCTTCATTGAGCTGTTTGTTCTTATTTTCATGTTTTGATGGAGGTTTTTCGGTTGGCGAACGTGTTATGGATATCGGCAAAAAACCGGTCATCTTGATATCACTGAATATTCTCTCTCATCTGTGTATTTATTTATTTATTTATTCTTATTCCCTTGGGTTCCAAGTGGAACATCGGACTTACACAACACATCTCCACTTTGTTCTATTTTCTGCCGTCATCTCCATTTGGGTTCATGATTGCCCATAATCTCTTATCTCTTTCAACTTACACGATCTCCTTCATGTCATCTTCTCACTGACGACCCACTCGACGCTTCCCATTTGGATTCCGCTCGATTGATGGCTTACATTGCTCTCAATATCATTCGATGGCCTCCTCAATGGCGTATGTCCAATCCATCTCGATTATCTCCTACATATTTGTTGAGCGATGGGCTCTTGGTTGGTTTCTCTCCAGCCAGAGTTTCTTGTTGCTAATTCCTGCTGGCCTGTCAGCCATTTAATCTTCAGTATGGAGCCAACCAGAGAAGCGGGCAGCTGTTGATGTAAGTCTGTAACATGTTCGAAATCCTTTTCGTGACACGCTGGCCAAGTGTCTGACTCATTTTTTGATTTTTTTTTTTTGATTTTACAGCTTGATTCCACACCGTATTTTCAGCACAAATGTGGAACTTTCAGCATGGATATCGGTAGCCCAAATTCAGGCCAACCATAGATATCGGGTGTGCGTCGGCAGGGGATCGAACCCCGGACCACATGCATGGTCGGTGAGAGTCCTAACCACTGTGCCACCGACGCACAGTCTGTTCTTCTATGCAAATCAGAAACTTGGTTTGGGATTATTTCTCTAACATAAAACTGAAGTGGTTTTGAAGAGACATTAAGCCTCGACTTAATTTCACCATGTTGTTTTAGTCTCATATTTCATGTAGAATGACATTAATATTTGCTTTAAATTCAATATTTAACCTTTATCCTCGTTTCCTTTTCTCTTTTTTTTCCTTTTTGTATCTGACAGCACTCAGTTTGCTACCGTACAATCAATTCATCTATGAAGCACGTTGTAAATGTCGTCAGCAAATGTATCGCGTTGGTTTAATTCACTCTTATCAGGAGGCGTTGACCGACTACCGGTTATCACTTTTAGCCAGTACTTTGATAAGTCAGTAAATAGACTAGTTACTTCATTATCCATTTCAATATGATCTTAGATAATAGATTATATGCGAAATCTATGCGAAATCATTCATAAATATCATGAAGTGATTGAATTCTGCTCAATCAATATTTTTATTATTTTTCGTTTTCTAAATAGCTGCTCCTTGTGCTGTGACATACTTAATTCTTGTATTTATAAATACTTACAAATAACATACAAGTTTAATAAATCTATTTTGTAAATAAATGTCAATGATGTCTACTACAGTTTGAATTCATTCCACCATTTCTACATTGTTATTAGTTATACATTGAAACAAAACTTCGAGTAAGTGGTTCATTGGTAAAATGCTCACCAAACACGCCTCAAGTGGTCCAGGGTTCGATTCCTGGTGGACACAGTCCTAAACCACTCTTAGCTAGTAGTAAGACCAGTAGAAACGATAAGGTTGGGAGGCGTTAGGCCACCGACCCCGCTCTGTGAAAAGAAACACCATTGCTAATGAAACTTTAGAGGTCAAGCTTGAAGCCTAGTTGTTCTACTCGGTATTCAAAGGAATAAAATAAATAATGCTAATAATCAAGACTATTTGCAATTAAAAGTGTTCTCTGAACTAGTTGGTTTAGTTGCGAAGCTTTCGTCGTCCTTCTGGACAACATCTTCGGTGCCATATATAGCAAAAAGTGAAGTGATTTAAATTTCTTCATGAGTGATATAATTGCGTCTCCTGGTAACTATCTTTACATATGTATTGACGATTTTCTATTGACTTGGATTTTAAACTTACTGGTGACCTGATTTACTTTTTATTAGTTGGTATATTTCGTCTATATTAACGTGCTTGTTAATTGCATTTTCGTTTGAGTACCAGGCTTCTAGGAATTCTTTGGCACTTTTAGTGTTTCCTCTGTCTAAGATTTTGACATTATCCCAATCAAATTGATGACCAACTAAACCAACCAGTTCAGAGAACACTATTAATTGCAAACCATCCACCTGAGCTACAAATCTTCTCTATTATTTCAAAATCAAGACTATTCACTGTGCAATAATAGAGAAGATTAGTAGACCATATGGATGATTTTGATGTGGTTCTGTATTCTCTAAGTTAAGTTGTCTTTACTGTGCCAACCTGAAAATGAAGGGAGCTTATTTGAATTCTCTATGAAGGATATAAGTGTATTTCCTGAAAACCTTTGTTGTGATTGGTTGTTTATTTGCTTCGATATTGATCGCTTTTATTGACCATGAAGACCAAAAGACTTAATATTAAAAGAAGACAACATCAGCATCAACAATTGGCCTCCCTTTCAACTTTGAGACCATGGACATAAGATAGCTGTCAAAAGACTCAACATTTATTCTTTCATATCAGTGAATGTATACAATTGTGGAGAAATTCTGAGAAGCGAAGATAAAATTACATCATTCATGAAAACATCTGAATAAGTTAACTTTATGTTAAAGTTTCCGTTGGAGGTGTTGTCTACAAAGATAATGAAGGCTGTTTAATTAAACCATCTAGTTCATAGGAGACCACCGCATCTAAGCTATCCACTTTCATTAAATGAGTTACTTTTATTGACTCAAAACCAAACTATTCATCACTCATATCCTCAGTGAACACTAAAACCTTTTGGTTGGACACTAGTCAGTAACTAGTGTAACGTGCGTGTCTAGTCCTATCTTCGCTGCAGACTGAATTCTATCAGTCAAGCTTGCAATGTGGCCACCATGCCACTAAGTGGCCCGTCATCACGGTGGACTGTGAATTGTTGGTATTAGATGGTTGGAGGCAATCGGTCGCAGGAAGCCTTGCCTGACCTAGGTTTCGTGCTAGTTGGCACTCATCAGCAAGCGTATCTGCAACCTCGAAGGAACTCATGCACTGTGATGTCGAGCCACCTAGCATGGTGGAAGAGACGTTACCACTGACTGCTGTCTCTGACTGAGGCAATGGGTGATGCTGGTTCGAATCTCAAAAGGGATATGAGTTCCTTCGAGGTTACAGATACGCCTTGCTGATAAGTGCCAACTAGCACGAAACCTAGGTCAGGCAAGGCTCCCTACGGCCGATTGCCTCCAACCATCTAATATGAACACTAAAACTACTGGATAATGATCTTGCAGTTGGTCTCTAAAGCCTACTGAGTTGAAATTCAAGCATTAGAATGTTTTAATCGAATTTCCCATGTAGATATTAAGGCAGCGGTTTACTTCTGAAGGGTAGTAAACTAGGAGGAACTGCCAACTGCTTAGCTTTCCTGGATGTTCAATGGTACTTTCAATTGGTATCGCTCAATGGAAACAATCTACCCCGGAACTGATTATTAGTTTTGCTTGAATCTTTAGTTAAATTCATTTCAGTTCTCTCGCCTAGTGTGTCTGAGATGAGATGAACGTCTAAGTGTTTACTGCTTTCCTTCAAAAGATTGATTAATGAACAAAGAATATTATTTTGATAACTTCAGCAGATCCTATAGTTATGCGCCCATAATAATTAAAAGGTTATCTCCTTTCGTCTTTAGTGACGTATTTCGCTTGAATAATTTATTCCTACAGTTAGATAAAGACTTCTCCTTAATATCACATCAGACTGTACCTTTCATTTCATACAAGCTATGCAAGATAACTTTCTTGAACCTCTGATACATATATATGTGATTTTTGGAGCAAAAACCGGAACTCCTCGTCGTGAAATATTCATTTTAGTAACGACTGGAGTTTTGGTAAAACTCTCTACCCACTGAGTGACACGACTCAGTCACAAACTCTGTATTCCTCAAACATTGCTATTTTTGCACATACGTCATGTGATTTGGCGATACGTAATCGTTTTATCAGAGAACATCAGTCCTCCAAAAACTTGTAGAAGTTGTTAAAATCTGGGAAGGCCGAAATACCAGACAGAATTCACCCAGAAGCACTGGAAAAGGATCTGACGACCTCAGCGGATATGCCCATGCCACTAACGCAGAAGGTTTGGAAGGGAAGAAAGGTAACTACTCATTGGAAGAAGGGTAACTTAGGCCTCAGAAAGAACTGGCGCTGAATCATGCTGTTGTCCACCTCTAGCAGAACATCAAGCCACATCATCCCAGAAGGATTAAAAAATGCTCTGCGTACAAAGCTCAGTGCCAAGCAAGCTGGATTCATGAAAAGCAAATCATGTGCAGATCAAATCGTAACGCTATACATCACCGACAAACATATCATAGAATGGCAGTCAACTGTCTCTCTCTCTACCTCAACTTCGTTGACTTTGAAAAAAGCCTTCAATAGCGTCGACCGTGAAGTAATTTGGAGACTGCCTCAACACTACGTAATACACTACCGCAAAAATTTACAAACCTCACTCAGCAGCCCTCATGGTGATGCCTTATTCCAAGTGATTCACATTGGAAAGTTCAGTGAAGTCTCTAAAGTGGAGATTGGAGTAGAAGAAGGCTGTCTACCATCACCGATAGATAATATTCTTGATTATGGCAGACTGAATTGTGCGGACAGAAGACAGGCACACGTTGAACCTACAAGAAGACTCGAGAAGATCTGGACTTCGGAGATGATTGATATCTAAGACTGCAAAAACTTTGATGATATACAGGCGAAAACCGACAAGTTGGAAGAAGATCCAGTGAATACACGATAAGCGACAAGACACTCGGGTAATGAACTAACTAACAACCGATAGGCCAACAAATCTGTTGAAGGAAATTGAAATGCAATGAGCATTCTATGAGGGGACTGTTGAGTGGCACTATGTGCCAGGTAGGCACAGAACTGAGTGAAGTGGAGATATGCTGCTAAATGAATTAATTAAAGGGAGTTATAACTTATAAATAGCAATATATATATATGTATATGTATTAAGTGTACTTTATTTTCAAATACAAAAAGAAGGATAAAGAAAATGAGGAGTTTAGCAACGAGATATATACCCAGCTCGTAGTAAAAACTTCCTATCCCCTGATGATAACACATAGAAAACAATGAATGAATACTCGAAAAAGAATTCAATCTGTCAGTGAAAAAAAAAACATAATCAACTTGCTGGACATAATCAACATAAGTTCTGTAAATCTTATAACATAAACTAGAAAACATACTGTATGTGTGTAGGTAGAGTGAACTAATTCAAAAAACGAAGAAAAGAAAAGAAAAGAAATGAGAGGATACTAAAATTCATATATAATAAAGAGTTCACTTCAATTGAATCCATTGAGAACAGTTCATATTACTTTTCTATTATTTTTAATACAAATGAACAAAGAAGCTTTTGCTTATACAAAAAAAAGCAATAAAAATGCACAGAAGTAGATTAGGCTTTCTTTATTAAAATTTCACTATTTTTTATGTATACATTTTTACTTTAATACAAGTAGTAAGTTAAACACCTGTCACGTACGTGTAGACATGTTTTTTTTGTTTTACTGAAGCTGTTCAATATGTTCAATATGCATAAGTTGACACAAAAAAAGAGAAACAAAGTCATATTTAGAAATATTCATTTTGACAACTGAGATTTTGTTTGTTTTGTATCAGTAACTGTTAGTTAATTAAATCATAGTCATTTCTTTAACTGTCGGTGTTTATTTTTTCTTGTTTAAATTATCTAAAATAGACCGCAATCTTTTAAATTCGATTTAATAATCACATCTATCACAGCGTCGAATACAACTCTGATATTATTATTGTCTGTAGCACAAGTGAAATGCGTGTAAATTGTTTTTGTTGTTTTTCTACGATTAACATCTTCAAATTTTTCACGGATATAATTCGATGCCTCTTCATAAGTTTGTCCACCTGTATACTCGGGGAAGCAAACAGTTAACGGTGATCTGGCAATTTTTTCAGCAAATAAATCTTTTTTATTTAAAAATAATATTATACTAGTTTCAACAAACCATTGACTATTACATATTGAATCGAATAATTGTAAGGATTCATGCATACGATTTGTAGTTTGATCTTCGGCAAGTTTTAAGTCATATTCAGACATTGCAACAATGAA